GTGAATGTGGGAGGTAGAACAGCTATTCCATATTCCTCGGCGTGGAGAGGCAGGGTCATGTTAAAAATCAACATAGAGGACTTTCTGCTTTTTCTATTCCCCCTGGATTGTTTGTTTTTCATGCAGCCTTAGTCTGTCTAAAAGAGAGTATTATAGCAAAACAATATCCAACAGTAACTTTAAAAAAGGCCCAAACTAACGAGTGTGCATATACCTCAGCACTAGCTCACCAATGAACCATCCATCTCTCCCCTGCCAGTGTGTCCTGCAGTTTGGTGGTCTTTCCAATTGTCCATGGAGAACAAATGATGAGGGGGTAGAAGAGGTAAACAGAGACATCTGTTCATGCCCATTTCTAACCAACACAATCTCCTACTCAGTCACGGGGGAGAGTGTGGATTCTGACAGTGAGTCAGAGCCAAAGGGGGGCGGTGTGAGAGGTGGCTTTGGTTTGGTCTATGGAGGGAGGCAGCTGTGACTCAAACACTGCATACTGATGAGGTGGAGCAATTTCTCTATTTTCCCTCCTAATTAAAGGCAGTTTGCTCCCCAACTAGTCTGTTGTGGACTGTGTGTTGTACACTGTGGCTCCAGTAAACTAAATGCTCTCTTACAAGGAGGTGAAAAGTGGGATCCCCCTCAGAAAGAGCAAAGCGACAGAGGGCTTAAACTTAATTTTCTTCCCACTCCTTTGCCTCTCTCTCTTCCCCAACACTGTTCAGTTGCGGAAGATACAGAAGCTCTAATTTATAAACTGAAAACAAAATGACCAATCTCAATCATAAGATTTGATAAAATACGCATTATATGCAGCCTCACAGTGAAGCTTCTATGTATCCAGGAAACATAAATGGCAAAAGTTTGTGCTACATGTACTTGTCAATAATTGAGAACTCCACAGAAGAGTACAATGTGCACATAATTAATTTACATTTCTAATGTAATAGTTCATTGGATAGCAAAACTTTCCTTTGGTTTGGGGTGGCAATGGATAAATTTGCTACAAATCTACTCTTGTAAGCAATGTACATCAGGAGAATATAATTAATGTACTGTGTAAAAAGAATTCATACATATACACTGGTGACTCTTAAAAATTTGTCTATCATTTCTGAAAGCTTTATTATTGTTATGGTCCACTAGGCTCTAATTAGGAATGTTTCCTATAATGGTTCTAAAAATCACTCATTATTTTGGTCTTATTAGTGAGAGATGATTTACGAATGTATATGAACAAACTGGCAGAAACCATTTGTTCTTGCTCCTAAGCTGTCAACAATGTTATTAAAATAAATATATACAAAACTATAGTTGACTTTACATAATTACTCTCACCAGGATAGTAGTGGACTGATATGCTTTCATTTTTAAATTAGCTAGGTAGCCTGGCATACGCTGGAAAAGTCACACAGCACACACAGATTTCCTCTTCTTTGTGTGGTGTAGGGGAAGCTTTTCTAGATGAAGCTTTTCCTTAATATTTATCTGGTCTGTGATAGATGGCTCTGATATAAAAGCCATCAGAGTGAATATTCACCATGACACTACTCAACAGACAGAAGGAAAATGAAGGAAAGCGAGATATTATTCACAAACTAATATTCAAAGAGTGCAAGTATCTATGCAATGCATGCCTTTTTCTGTTCTGCTGAAATCAAAGTGAATTTTACTATTGGCTCGAACAGCACTTTTTTCCCTTGAAGCATCCAGTGTAGGGATACAGTCCTTTCAGTTCTGCGTGGAAAATTCAGTATCAGCTATTTATGCAACAGAAACAGTATGAATGCCATGAATAATGAAATATTTTATGCTGAATCAGTTATAACTTCTCTGAGAGCTTTTTGCTGCTTTCCGCTGGTCATTATGTGGAAGGATTCCAACTCTTTCATTCCACTCAGTCACTGCACCCTCACCAAGAGCAATCATTGTTTCAACAACTGTCCTCAGTCCCTCCCAATACTCAGCCCGTTTGGTGATAAAGCCTGTGCCCCAAGCAGGTTGGGGCAAACAAGGAGAGTTCAGCTGTTTGGGCAGCATTTGCTGGATGCTGACAACCAACCCATGGGTGGATAAGTTGACACCACAGTTGGATACCAACTAAGTTATCTAAGTGGATACCACAGTTAATTCACAAGTCATCTCTGTAACTGTGGTCCCATGCCTTATGATTGATTACCTTATCCTTTCTGTACCAACAATGTTTATCCATTCTTTTCATCGCAAAAATTATTTTAAAGTAGCCTTCAACCTTCAGAGGGCAGGCAGGCTTTCTAGAGAGATTTCTGAAAGCCTTGGAACAGGCTTTCACTCCACGGAAGAATTTGCTCCCAGTACATCAAAATACAGCATTCATAGTTAAGAAAGTAAAGAGTGATCGAGATAGTGGCACTTTGCCACCAGCAGAGCAATTACCAAATATGATGCAGATTTTTACATCAGTTTGCTACAGCCTCCCTTTAATGCTTCCAGAGCTACACTTTCTGAATACATACTGTAAAGGGTAGGCAGTACTCTTTCTCCTCTATCATATACATGAATACATTTGTTTTGGCTTTCTGGGTTCTATGTTACAGATTATATTTAGCATGCGGAAAGCTTTTAAATATTTATTACATAATACTGAATATATGTATTAAAAGATGAACTTCCTCTTCCTTGCATTTGTACGTGTGCGCATGTGTGCTTTTCTTGCACCACGCTGCTGCGTTTGTAACTTAAAGCTAAACCTCACTACATCATTCACTGCAGCAGCAAGATACTTTCCCCTAGAGTAGGATACAATGATGATGACATAATGCTGTGGTTTGAAAATCCCAAACCAGCTGTTACTGGAATATGCATTCAGATTCACTGTCTCTATGTCCGTGTGAGAGGCACAAAAGCTTGTGACTTAATCCAGTAAATGATTTATTATTTTGAATGTATAATTCAGGGACATAGCTTACGCATGGCTTCAGCCACAGAGTGGGGAAAAGTAATTTAGGCAGTTTCCTACTGTAATAAAACAGAGAAAAGATATAAGCCATCTGCACAGACCCAGCAGGTATTTTCCACCAACTAGCATGGGATCTGCTCACTGATTTTGGACTGAGGGAACAACTAGAAAGTGCCAAGTTTTAAAAATTTTGTCTTCTTTCTGAAGAATTCTTACTAATGCCTTTACCTGCTATAAATAAACACAGCTGGGCATCAATCCCCTAACCCAAACACAGTATCTATTCAAGTATTACTGGGTATATTATGCTATAAATTTTAGTTAAATAAGGGTGGCAATAAAACGGCTGCCATGCTTATGGATACTGCAAGAAGCTAAGATTCTCCTGTGCTTGGTGTCCTTGAATATCTGAGAATATTTTCTCAATGATGAAGGTCAGCTTTAAAGTAATTTCCCAACAGCAAGTCTAAAAAAAGAATACCACAGAAGCAACTTGAGACCTATGAGAAAGCTTTTTCCACTACAGTAAGTTGCTTTGATGGAGTACAAAATCCATCTCTGCATAAATCACTCATTTGCAAGGCAGAGTCGGGACACATCAGTTGATAGTCTTACTTTAAATCCAGACTAAATCAGACCTCTGAAATTCTTAACCTAATCCCTGCCCTCTGTACTATGTCATCATGGCAATTTGTTTCCAGGGTTACAGTACTTATTTACTCCAAGTAAAGCCAACGTGAACAACTGCCCTGAATTTTAGCAGGAAAAATGCATCCCTAGTGTAATTCCATTATCTGAGTGGTCTTGCGTCAGGGACGAACTTAGCCTATTAAATTCTGGCACAATACTATCAGTGAGAGCAATATCTGCTCAAGCCATATTATCTTTATTTGTAGAGTGACACTGAAACCACTGTGTTTGTAATCAACCACTTCTTTAAGTGCATCTTTCTTTAAATGTACACACAGACAGAGAAATAAAGAGCTAAATTGTAGCATAAATTGTCCAACTATTTCAAAATTCAAGGACTTCTCATGGAAAATAAAGGGGTAATCTTGGTCAGAGATATAATGAATTCTTTGGAGAGGAGGTGCAATCATGCACTGAATATGAATCATGATCCACTGGACTTTCTGCAGCCAAGTAATTGATAATCGATCTGTACAGTTCCAGTTGCATCAATCAATCATGTATCTGCAACGGCCTGTATCAAACAAGCCAGGAGAAGTCATGAAAGATCATTGCCAGTCCTATCTCTGTGACAGGCTCATTTATTATGCTGAGAAATTGCTCTGATGTAAACAAAAATTTTTCAAGCTACCCCAGACAAGGAACACCTCAGAAAAATGGAAGAGTGGTGTAGAGCTAATGCAGATAAGCCCTTCTTCTGTAGCTCTGCTTGTTTAACTAGAAAGGCTATCAACAGTTAATATAAAAGCCAGGAGGGGTGAGTGAGAAAACAAAACAAAACAAAAAAACAAACCCAGGCTGTTCCAAAATCCCTCTTCAGGAAATTTTAACAATTTTACAAAATCTTCATACCCACAGACTCTAAAATGGATCCAGGAAAGAGTGCTTCAAGAACTACTCCTGTGCCAAGATGTAACATTTTCCATAGATGGAAAGAGTTTTACTTGGTAGAAGACCATAGCATTAGGTCTTGCCTACTCTAGCTACTTACAGATGACAGATTAAAGGTGATGAAGGGCTGGATTCTTTCTGGAAAATGCAGGTACCTAATCCACCTCAATATAACTGACAAAACCTTCTTCTGACATACAGCCATTGAAATCAAGTGCACTTCACAGACGTCAAGCGGAATAATCCTCTAAATACATATCTGATACATAACCTTTCCTTCATTAGACGGAAATATTAAAACAGTATGGAATTCAACACTGCTATAATGACTGATCTATCATTTATAAGTACAGCTCTAACATTTTGAATGAACAAGTCTGAAACAGGACTCCTAAGAACAAGGAAGATGACAATATAATTATGACTGTTGGTAGAGTAAGAACCTAGCATTAATAACACTGTTGTATAAAGTATGCACTCTCACCCAGATAGGAAACTCCTTCTTCTGGTGTGATTGTTCCATATTTAACCATCATCTTCACAAAATCAATCAGGGTTTTCATGATAGTTATCAAGGTCTCTTTTTCTTTTGCCTCCGTCTCTGTGTGAGAGAATAAAGCAAAATGAGTCAAAGACTTCAGGCAACTCGGAAAAACTCAGTTCTGCAAACTCTGCACAAACTTCATGCATAAAAAATGACCTAGTCACTAAAAAGAAAATGCTGTGCTGAATTAGCAGAGAACTCCTATGTATGTTTCCTTTTAAACTGCTCCTGCAAAGTACACCTGAGTATACTTTAAAATTTCAGGGTTTGGTTCGTCTTTATAGCTTTTTGTCTTGAAGGTAAATGGGATTAATTCCATTTTACATATAAGAACACTAAACACACTCAGATGAAGTGACTTGACAGAGTTCAAACTGCTGGTCAGAGGTCAGATATAGGCATACACACAGTCTCTGTCTTTTTCTTTTATTTGTCTGTGAACTACTTAGTAGACCAGTCTGGCTCTGTAGGAGGAAGATAGCTCAGAGATCCTTTCTCCTCCAAGATCCATGGTTCAATGACAAAAATATAAAGTGTCTCTAATGAGATTGTTACTGTGCACAAGACCATGACTCAGGTACTAGGAAAACGTAATCTCACATGGTTGGCAGAACAGGATACAAACAATGATTTTTCATTATAAAAATCCATCTTTCTTGCTCATACGTGTCTCTCACCATCTTGTCAACCATTGCTTCTTAGCTTTCTTTTTACACTGCGGTTATCTGCTGAACAATATTACTGCTATTTCTGCATTAGCAGCATGAAACTCCCCCATCACAGAGTTACTCAATCTCTTTCTGCACCCCAGGTTGTCACTGAAGGACCCAAGAGAGCCAGGGGCACTGTCAGACAGGGACAGTCAAAAACATAGTCCCAGCCTTGGCAGAGGGCCAGCCCCTTTGGAGAGCTGCTGAACAGGTTTTTTTTATTGCTGCCTGCAATTCAACACACATCTGTACAATGCAATTGAATCCCCTCTCCTCCAGCTTGATACAAGCCAGCAGGCGAACAGCATAAAGCAGGGGATAAGGCAGAGATGTACAGCCAGTGGGACCTGATTCTACTTGCTTGATAACCTGTGAAAACCAACATGCCTTTCTGCTTTGTGAGTAGAAAAAGGAGAAGAACTAGCATGCAAAACTACCGCGGGAAAATGAAAAGAACAGGAAGAAGAATATGAGTTTTGTAGACTGGACTGGAGCAAAATGCGCCCTGAGGTTTTTCATTCTAGCTCTCCACACAGGTGTTTATGGGGAAAGTTTGAAGCTCCTGCAGGACAAGGAATGTACAGAATAAATTATTGCTGACTGTGCTGGAGGGAACAGAAGACATGCTGGCTGCACAGAGTGAGAGTGGGTGTGTGGTAGAGTGTGCTGACAAAGGAGCTGTGGCAAGGTGCCACAATCTTGCCTGCAATAACTGGAAGGCAATAATGTCTAGCACCGGAATAGGAAGAGACGTGCAGAGCTTTCATTGCAATAAACAACAAAGCTGTGGTTTGTGAAAAGACTCAGACACATTTACCGGTACCATCACTGTGAGGATTCTACTGTGGCTTACTTGTAACTCTTGTTGGCTTAGAAGACACAGATGTTAATGGAAAGATCTCTGGAGAAAATAGTTTGCCGGTTTTTCATTATGCCCTTACGGGAATGAAAAGAATTCAGGATTCCTGAATCATACAGCACAAGGGAAGGTCTGCCTAGGTCACACAGTTTGCAGTTCCGAGTGCTGTTCCTTTCAATGTTTTGCCATACTCACTAATCAGTTTTTGCTATGCATCTTAGAGAACATTTTTAAAGCATGTGGTCTCCTGCGACTAGGGAAGCTGTGGGGAAGGGAAAGGAGTAGGAGAAAACAAAGGGAATCTTAATTTTCTATTTTTTTCCCTAAATGTTCCTGTAAACACATGACAGGCTTACCTGAATTAAGACTTTTTAACAGTGCGTAAAAGTTTGGAAAATATTGAAGGTCTTCAAAATTATCTTCAGAAGGCAGCTCATTTCTTCTTTCCAAGACATTAGATGATGACCATGTGTTATCCAGTGTATCGTCAATTTCCCCATTAATGAAACTATCCTGATCAGCTTTGCTTGGTGTCTCCACAAAAGACATAAAAAAAATAATGCCTATAAGCACATTGCTTCTAGTGATAGAGTTAATAGAGAAATAAACAGCATCATAATCTTATGCCAACATTTTCCTAATTACAAAGTGAAGAACATATTATTTTTTCAAAGTTATTTCAATTTAGGATCTGGCTTAAACCTCAAAGTAACTCACAATTCATTTTTCTATCTATCTGATGGATTATCTTTAACAATACCTTTAGTTTCCAGTTTGAACTAATTATTCCCTAAAGCATAGCATAGTGTATTGGTCTACTTGTACCATTTGGCAAGTGAGTCAAAATGATTAGCTAAGAAATTACCATTCTTTCCTGTTCCTTTTCTTTTGTATCACTGTCTGGTCTGCTTGGAGGGTAATCAAAATCTTCAGACTCCTTCTCACGATCCTTTGCTTCATTTGCAATTAGCTGTTGTAAGACCTCTGCCACTTCATCTTCCAGGGTATAGGCCTGACTCTCTGTGATCTGTTAAAATATCGGTGTAGAGTCCTTATAGAATATCATGGTTTTTCGAGATTAAATGTCAATATGAACCCTGAGCTTTGTAAATAGGTTGCTTCAAATATGTTTGCTTCAAAGCTGAGCATAGCCAGAGTAGGTGTAATACCTTCACTGATGTGTGTGTGTATACATATAGACATATAGATATGTGTACATATATATATATGTCTATATTTATATAAATGTATATACACACATACAAACACACGTCAAATACATGCATATACATAAAAACCATCCACCCACACATACAGCCTTCAACAGGAAAACAAACCCATATGGGGCTTAACACAATCGAGTTCAGCTTGAAAGATGGAGCTGCAAGTGCAGTATACCTGTATGTGTATATATGTGCGTGTGCACATATAAATACAGATGTTCTGCAACATCCCTATGTACAATTGAATAACTACAACATAAAAAAAGCAAATAGCTTTCTACAGCATCGTCAAAATGTTTTCTCTTTGCGTTGTAACAGCTGTCACTTGAATGAGAACTCTACCATGCAACTGTCTCACAGCTCCCTTTGTAATTAGCGGGATTCAGCACGCAATAGCTAATTGCAAAATCTAGTGCATAAAAGATAAGCTAGGTATTTTAAAATATAAGGGTCCCTTATTGCAATTTATAAAACCATTGAGACATCCAGAGGTCAGAGACAACCCCAGTCTTGCTAAAAATCAGGAACAATGGGAAATGTATCCTCAACTAACCAGCATCACTATTTGTGTGCTGATGACAATAATTAGTAGGTGGATAGGAAAAAGCTCAGACCTTTCTCCATAAACATCCAAAAGAAATTGATAATACAAAAGAACTCAATGAAAATCAGAAAAGAAATTAAAGGAAAAAGGAGGGCAAACATGGGAGGAGTACAGTCAGTGAATGCTTTCTCGACGCCAGAAACATTCTGCAGTTTGGTCTATTTTGCTGCAAAGCCATCACAGGAACAACAATGTTACTGCAGAACTAACCCAATGTGCTCAGATGAGTCTAGAAGCTTGCCTAGAGCTTGAATCCCATGCATTTTCACCCAAGTCAGCACTATTAGCTGGGCACAGTGTTCATCCAAATTGTTTTTAAAAGAGCATTAATCTAACCCACAAAACAGCTAAATGAAGTATTAACAAGATACTTACTAGTCCCAGATTCAGAAGTTTTGAAACGATCTTGTCAAACACTCCTCTATCGTTTTCCTCATAAATTCTTGCAGCAATTTTCTGAACAATGTCTTCAGCAGTTAGAGGAGTGCCATCTAATTGATGGAGGCCATCTGGATCATCTAAAAGGATTACAGTTTAACTGTGTGCTGATTGTCCTAACTCATTTGGATTAGACATCTTGTAAGAAATATCTGCCCACATCTTTTCAGAACAAAGCTGCACCTTTTATACCCGTTAGGAATATAGTTTGATACACACTTTGAAATCCATTACATTAGTCCCAATGAAAACTTCCCTTTATGCCCATTTTTCATCTGAAAAATAGTTTTCTGACTGGTTCTTTTTTTTACAGAAAAATTTGTAAGAACAAGAGAACACTGCTCACATATCCACTTATATGCATCTTCTCGGTACCTACTTTCATTGCATGGCCACTTAGATCAAAACAGATCATGACAAACATACTATCTTCTTGCTTGGATTTCAGCAAATGAAGTTTTAAGATTATGAAGATTATGAAGATTACATAAGTAATGTAATCATTACTTATGGCAAATAATATCATAACCGATGGGAAAGTGCATATGATGAGTAAGCTTTGGTCTGTGATCAGCGTACTTTGATATAATTAAAAATATCCTGGTCTAAATGCTGCTCACAACTCTCAGAGGACTCACTTAAACTACAAGTCAATTAACTACTCCTGTAGGAAAGGCAAGTATTCTTTGGCCTTCAGTAACTTCTTCTAGCTTTGTGATGAGGAGAATTATCTAACATTGCACTTAACATTTAGAACAAATATATGTGATTTAGCTCAAAGTACTTCTTCCTTTCAAACCAGAATAAATATATTTGCCTTTAAAAAAATGTCCCATTTTCCTTCCATCAAATCTAAATTGCAAACAAACATAATGCAAATTACACAGTTGGATTTTTCTCCACAGAAGAAGACTGTGAGAATCAACAGCAATTCTTCTGCATTGGGTTTCAAAACCTAATTGTAATGTGACAAGGTTCTACAACTGGAAAAGATTGAAATCACACTCCAGTAACAAACAGAGCTTGTGTTTAGTGGTGAGTACAACATTCATGATTCCAGTCAGTTTGCAAGAGAAGTCTGATCTAAAATTCACTGAAAGATGATTATAGAATACCTTGGAATTTATAATCCAGTCCACTTTTAGTAGAGTCATAGTCATCCACAAGCCTGCGGTTCTTGGTGGAGTCTGCATCATCAATGGCCAGTTGCTGTTCATACAAAGAGCTTCTAATTGATTCCCTCTCCTTTTCATTCCTCTCTCTTTCTGCTACTGATTTTAGCAGGTTCAGGTCATCAACAAAGGAATAATTCCTGAACTCTGGCTTATTTTCTGGAAAATACATCAATGGATACATTGTATAAAATTTTATACCTCTTTGAATACCATTATGAGTATCGCTATAAAATCAGGAAAGAGGTTTTACCTGTGGGAACTATTTTCCTATTCTTGTCTGCCTCAGCTTCAGCAATCTGATATATAAAAATAAAACAAACAAACAAACAAACCAACAAACAAGCAGAAGGAATAAATACACTAAGGTGTGGGATCTCTTAGATTTATCAATATCAGCAGAAGCCTTAATGTCTGATCTTCACTCTTAGTAAGAAGTTTGCCTTAATAAATAGAACATGATTAAGAGCTTGGCACTTTTTGTCAGTACCACCGCATCCTCTGATCAGAGTCAGACATTATGACAAGCTGCAATAGACTTTCCACTTTAAGAGAAATGTGAGTTACATTTTCCTTCTTCAATCCAAGCTCCCGCTATATTCCCGTAGGATGTCAATACAAAGGAGTTACACACCTGTGAGCTGTTGGAGCTAATGACACGCTTTTGGAATGCTGGACAGTACAACTCTATACACTAGTTCTTAAAAACTATTGAAAATCTAATTTGTACCCAATCCCATCAATATTTACTTTACTGACAAACCTATTTTTAACTCATTTGTTAAGCCATTAGGAAATTCATGGATCTAGTACCTGAAGGCTCAAAATATTATGAAAATAACAAAACTAAAAGCGCTTTTTCACTTACCTGTTCCTCCAAAGGTCTTTCTACACTTAATTGTCTGTTGTGTATACCTTTATCTAGAATAAACAAACACACATATATACTCAGTTACATGATGGGTGCAACTACAAAGAGAAAGCACATTTTCTCTTAATTTATAGTTTTCTCCCATAAAATGTGGTGTCTTAAATATGTTGCCAACTGCTAGTACTCGTGAAAAAATTCGGTGTTCCTAGAAGAATGAGAATACAATTAAAAAGTCATTTAAACAAAGGAAGACTGTTTGAGACAGAGGGAGAGATTCCGTAAGAGATGTAATAGAAATACAGATATAGACTCAGTAACCCCTTTCTGATGAGAAAACTCATAAACAAACTGAGGAAAAAAATGCTGTAGGAGATTGACTAAAATAGCAATAATCGGATTGGCACAACCAAGAGATTAAAAATCTCTTACATCTAGAATACCAGGGGATACAGGGAGTGAGAGAGAGAGACTTGTACAGAAACTACTGCAGAATGGATGAAAACATTGCTTGGAAAAGACTGAAAAAATTCAGAGCTTTTCCTTCTACCAGCACCTATCCTCTTTAATATTAGATTGCAACTTCAGTGATTGAGCATCTGGCGCCAGGAATATTGTTTCTTTAGAATCTAACTGCTTTTTGCCAAGTGGAAGGAAAGTTTTTGCTTTCCTCTCTCTATACCCTGCAAAACTTTCCCCAGCTCGGAGAAAATGTATGACCGAAGGAGCTTACCTTTGCCCACTGGTTTCGGGAAGCCATGCCCCTGGCTTGCCAGCAACGACAGCACCTGCACCACGACCGCCAGCTTGAGGAACATCCTGCCGCTGCCCGGCCACCTCGCCGGATGGGGAGCCTGGCCAGGGACGGGGGCTCCTGCCCGCGGGGGCTCCTGCCCTGCGCGCCCTTCCGCGCCCGCGGCCCCAAGCGCCGCGCAGCCGCCGCCCGGCGGGCGCTGTCCAGCGGCGCGGTGCTGAAGCAGCTGAGCGGAGCCGGCGCTCGGGAAAACCGCTCGGTCCCCGCTCCCCGCGGCCGCGGAAATGGTGGAGGCCGTCCCCGCCGCCGGCCCCGGGCATGGGGGGAGGAGACGGGGGAGGGCCGCGGCCGGCGGAGCATGCGCGCCCCGCTCCGCTCCCGCGGTTCCCGGCAGCCGCAGCCCCTCGTCTCCCGCTCCCGGGGGAGAAGGAGCGCTGCCGACGCAGGGCTTTGGGCAGCGCAGGCAAACTCTGGGAAGGGGCTGCGGGAAAATCCCGGACATCCCGGGGGGGCCTGGGGTGTGGGGTCAGCGCAGCAAGGCTGGGCCGCACACGCTTTTTGAGCCATAAAAGCTAAATCCGGCCCCGCAGAGGAGGCCTATGAATCATTTACATCTACGTAAGCTCTGTTCATGGGGGTGAATTACACAGTGAGGGCACAGTCATCGATGATTCTTTTTACTACGAAGAGAGGACATCAAAAGTTTAATTATAGCACATCTTGCTCTTTAAAATTTTGAATAAAAAAAAGAAATTAAAAAAAGCAGCAGCACAAGTGACATTAAGCACGTAAGCTACTTCTGTGCATTTTCATAAATTAAAATTTAGCCCTTGCAGGCACAGAACAGCAACAAATCCCTCGGGATCGGAGGAAGACATTTTCACCGTTTTATGGCAGAACAAAGGATCGCAGCGGTAGCTCTTTTCAGAACTATAGGATCTGCTTCCAAAATGGGAGACAAATCACAGTTGTTTTTCGTCAAAATAGATCTCATAGTTTTGTGGATGTAAATGCATACATGTAGAGGTCAGCTGAAAACCTTTAACATTAGAAATCTTGCTAACTCCTAAAGAAAAAACAAACCACCTTAAATCTCTATTTGAAGAGACGAAGAGGATCAGTGCATTTACAACTGAAAACCCGGAACACAGTGGAACTGTTCAGTCTCTCACCAATGCATAACGTTATTATAGTATAATCTGGGAAGAACACAAAAAGTAGAACAATGATATTTAATTGGACCACAAGCTCTAAAAAAAATAGCAATTTTCCCCCCTAATAGCAACCACTTTATTTAATACTCAAGCCTTTCCATATAAATTAGATGAAAATTAGACAAAATGCGATGCTATAGTTTACATCAGACTCATTTCCATAAATGATTCTGCCTGTGATCCACAGATCCAGAGCAATGAAAATAACTTTCAGAAATACACTGATAACCCCAGAATCTCTACCTAGAGCCGGGCTCCCATTCTTGCAGCTATATCAGCGTTAGGAATTATAGGATATTTTGGATAAAAACCTTTTGAGCATAGTTGTATATAAGAACAAAATAGCCTTATTTAAACATTGTCTGGTAACCTACAAGGAAACCTATTATGCTAAACACAACCTTCCCTCAGTTTAGAAGCACAGAAGTGCTTCCACAAGAAAGTGTAGAGTAACCTCTTCCCCTGCCATCTTTAGCATATATACACACATCCCAACACAAATCTCGAAACTACAGAATATTTCTGATACAGAAAAATGAAACTGTCAATTCTTACTTCAATGTGGCTTGATATTCTATCCTGGTTTTTTATTCATTCAACAGTTAATTGCCTATCTAATGTTCTCAATGCTCAAAAAATGTCTACTTTCTCTCAATTTACCCTTCCTGATTCTTACTTCTATACCATTTGAATATTTTCTGCAATGCACTGTAAATGTACATCTACTTAGAGGACTCCATTTCTTTAGTCATTCAGACAGAAGTCACCATAAAATACAAAAGCAATGAATGTACTTTAAACATGCTGAAATCAAGATAGCTGAAAAGCAGTGAGATCAGAAAAGGAACTCTCTGGTGACGATAATGCAAAGAAGTTGCTGATTAAAAAGACACCTATTTCTGTGATATGTGTAAAATATGGGGTTTTGTGTATAATGATATGTCTAACTGTATTCAAATGTGTTTATTTTACACGATACGCTTCTGTTTATGGGATAAATGTTTCTATTTATGTGAATTCTTTTCTCTATAATTTCCTGATTCCATACGGTTTGTTATTTCCTTAGTGCTAAATCACCTCCTGCTTTGCCAAGCCTCTCTAACAAGAAATGACACCCAAGGACTCTGCAGGGGCTGGGAATGGTAGCACGGAGAGAAAAGAACTCAAAGCCTGCCATCATCAAAAGACAGTATGGCTGCAGTAGCCACTCTAGTTCTTAAAACTGCAAGCAAAAAAAAAAGAAACATGCCAGGAAAGCCAAACCTAAAACTTTGACACAACCCCTTTCCCTGTTCATGGAGACATCACAACGTGCTCCCAGACACGTGCTGTAACTGGAAGCACAGAGCACACCTGCACTGCCACGCTCTGGTTTTGCACATTTGGCCCAGTACCCCTTGGTAGTGCACTGGTGAGCTTGTATGATACGTGACAGATAATACATAATCTCTGCTAATTATGACAAAATATGTTTAATCAGCGTAGGAAAATGACTGGGTAAAAGTGCTGCCTTTGTTTCTCACTACATCTCTGTTTTCATTTGGCATCATTTACATCATCTACAACTACACACTCCTCTTCCCAGCGCAGAGACAATACGGTGAAGAGCATAAGCTCTTCTATTTTGGATTCTATTTTGGCTCACCCACAATCAACCCATTTTCTATTCTAGAGCTATTTATTTCCAGTGATGATTCATGAGCCAGAAAGAATACCACTTGCCTATCAGATGCCAAGGAGAACTTACAGGAATGGCAATTATAATGTTTTTTATTGTGGTGAGTGCAGTTGATACGGAGCCTAGGGAAATAACTGAAATGCAGCCTTTCAGTGCTATTTTTACAGTTGTTGTATAACCACACTTCAAGGTTTTTCATCTAGCTGATGAAAACAGAAGGCAGATGAAAGCAGAAAAAAACCAAACAACCCAACAATGCACCTTGCCAAGTTTATGTCTACTTGGTAGACATTCCTTACTGTTCTGGATTTGCTTTTTCTACTTTATCTCATATTATGCTAAATGATATACTTAATATTCTCATGCTTAAAAGGAAAAAAAAATAATTGGAAAAGTTACTGGTGATCTTTATGCAAGGCATTAGATGTATCTACAATCATCTGACCATAAGTCATGTATCTTGCACATATGTGTGCACTATGAATAGTCCTCTCCATTTCAATGCAATCAACAGTATGAGAAATTAATCACACACAAGCCTGAGGGTTTGTACTCTACAAGTCATTTTACATACAGCATTTATCAGTACACCACCTAAGGCAAAGAGAAGGATGTAAGACCCTAGAGTCTATAAAAATAGAAGAAAAAAGTTATTAAGATTTGATCATTTGTTCCAGTTCCATCAGCTCTACCAACAGCTTTTCCTATGCTTATTGAACTTACATTTTTTGGTCTGCAAAGCTTACAAGGTTTTTACCTTCTGCAACGTAATGTCTTTACATGAGTAACTCTTAACTGAGATTTTTCTTAACCAATTCATTTCTTAAAATGAACTTTAAAAATACAGTCCAAATCTTCCAACTTAGCTTCAAGGAAATGCCAGCTTTTAATACGTTTTAAAATAATGACCTCAGTTTGTTCCTAATTGGCGCTTTTTTTTTTTTTTTATATCAATTTATAGCTTGGAACTTCACCATGATTTTTCTGACCAGACATGTGTTGGAGATGGAGAGATACTTTTCCCTTGGAAACACATAGCTGAGAAGGGATTACTTCAGTTTCTTCTCCACCCTTTCTAGGAAAAAAAAAATCACCTTTGAACTGAAATACAAACCAGAAAATGTCAAGTAATTTTGTTTTACAAAAATATGTGTAATTGAAAAAGGCATACGTGGGTTTCTGAAATGGAATTACGCATTCAAAACTACATAGATTCAGTATTAATTTAGTCTGCTGTCTTTTGCAAGACAATTGACTCATATTTAAGTGGCACTATGCGTTTTCCTTGTCACAGGAAAAACAGTGAGAGAAAAACAATTCTGTTAAAAAATACATTAAAGACTATCCGAATGTATCTTGTTGCATTTGGCCAAAGATTTCATTGCACCTTTGGAAAGGTATATCCTAATGCATCAGGTAAACGTGACTGGGTTAGATGCACTTTTTCACTTGTGGTATGAGGTATCTGTGGAAGTCACCTGGCAGCCTTCTTTGACGTGTTCATTTCATTGCTTTGCTGGTGAATGCCCAATTCCACCCCATCCACAAGATCTAATATCTAGATTAGGTATTAGGAAGATGAGGGTGCTGAGACACTGGCACAGGTTGCCCAGAGAAGCTGTGGACGCCCCATCCCTGGAGGTGTTCAAGGCCAGAATGGATGGGGCTTTGAGCAACCTGGTCTGGTGGGAGGTGTCCCTGGAACGAGATGGTCTTTAAGGTCCCTTCCAACCCAATCCACCCTGCGATTTGCCATGGCGATGAAGGCAGAGGCAGCCCCCAGCAGCTGCGCGGTGAAAGCCTTCTCAAGCGGCCGAGCCCTGCTGGGGCGGAATCGCCTCAGGACAGCGCTGCGGGGAGCCTCTCAGCCAAGGCCGCTCTCTAGATGTTTCCATTCACGCTTTAAGAATAATACCTCCCGTAAGTACCTACAAATCATGCCACTGCTTTCTTTGCAAACCCACCTTTAAATGCCTTTGTTTTGTGATACTGACAAAAAACTAAAGAGCCCGGGCGGGGCGGTTCGGCGGCTCCCGCGCCCCTCTCCAAGGCAGCGCTCCCTCAGGGGGGCTCCTGCTCGTATCTGGACGCGACCTGCGCCCGCCGTACCGCGGAGGACCCCGCCCCCGCCGTACCGCGGAGCAGCCGCCAGCGGAGACCGGGCCGGGCTCAGCGTCGCCCTCCGCCGGGCTGACCGGCTCTAAACGCTGTCCTTCAGCTCAGCCGCACGCTCTGAGGGGCGGGCAGCGGCGGGCAGGCGAGGCCGAGGGCTGAGGGAGCGGCTGTCGCACAGCCCGGGCCGCCCCGAGGCCGCTGCCCGCCCCTCAGAGCGCGCCGCCATTACGGTGTCCCCCGGCTCCCTCAGGCGCGAGCGGGGCGGGGCTGGGCGGGAGCGGTCCCGGAAGTGCGCGGCGCCGCCTGTGCTTCCCTTCCGGGCGGCGGCGGCGGGGAAGGGGCCGCGGC